GGTGAAAAAAACTATGTCGAGAATGTATCACATCATTCTCTGTTAATACTGAGAAATTAGCATAGCTGCAATTACAACCTAAATTTCGTGAAATACTGGCAGTCCTCGGATTGTGAGTAAGTTCCATTCCTAAGTCTGTCTGTAAGTCAAATTTGTACATAAGTTGGAATAGTTAAGTACAGTCCATATCTAAAGTCAGTTAGTCAAATGTTGTCTTAGTATATAGTATATAGTGTACCTTTCTATGCATAAAAAAAATCTTTTAAAAAACACTTCCAGATACACTAAAACATCTTTAACACAATAATACAGTAATAATAATAATGTTTTGATGGGCATGGCAAAGTAGCTCCATTTGTCATTACGAACCATTGTATGTACCTCAAGCTCTTAACATAACAGGCTTTACAGATGCTGGTTCAAAATTACGGGTTGTAAGCTAGTCAGATGTTCGTAACCTGGGGACTGCCTGTATATGGTAAAATAAGTATTTCCATTTTTCAAGATTGTCCCTAACAAATTTTTTTCATTAATAACTATAGAACTTTAGTCTCCATTTTAAATAGATCCACTTTAAGAGGTCTTTTCTAAGTACTAATTATCCTCACCTAGCAAGGATTGTATAAATGTGTATTACTAAGGACGAAAGGCTATTTATCTAAACTGTTAATAGTGGTTACATCTGGGAGAGCAGAAAATGGAAGAGAAAAAAAGATTTATAAGGATTACTATCCTTGTATTACTACATACACCTCTGTATTGTTTGAATTTGTTACAACATAGTATTTCTGTAACTAAACCTCAAATCACTAAAATTTAAAAATATGCTATTGTTTTTGTCTAATAGGACATTACTATAGATTGGTGTAAAATAAAACAAAGGCAATGGAAATTGATAAAGAGACCATAGTTGGACAAAATTACTGTAAGTAGGAAAATGACAGAGAAAAGAGGAAACCAATATATATTTGGCAGGATAATAAAACAAACAGCACATAAATTATTTGATGTTGGAAAGACATCCTCAAATGTTGCAGGATGCGGAGCAATCTCTACTTTTTCATCTAAGAATGATCTAGGATTGCTGAGCCCAATACAATAGCCACTAGCCACATGCAGCTAAAAAGAGCACCTGAAATAAGGTGAGTCTGAACTGAGATGTGCAGTGCATGTAAAATATTCCTAGATTTCAAAGATGTACTATGAAAAAAAGAACATAAAATGTCTCATTAATATTTTTATGTTGATTATATGCTGAAAAGATATTTTGAATATACTGAGTTAAATAAAACACATTAAAATTAATTCTGTTTAGTTTTATATGTTTTAAAGTAGCTCCTAGAGAATTTAAAATTACCTACGTGGCTCACATTTGTTGCGCCTGTATTATATTCCTAATGGGACAGCGCTGGTCTACGATCTTGCCACATCCCTAATGCCACAAGGACAAACACAGTTTGTACTTCCTCTGTGTCTTGCCTGCTTCAGATTTTTCTACTTTCAGCAACATGGGACTATATGAAATCAAAAAATCAACTAAAGCACAAAAGTGTAGATAAGCTTATCTCTATCAGTAGACAAACATTTAATATTCTTTAAGTTTATAATGATCATAAAAAAATAAAGCATCCAAAAAAAGCAAAATCTACTTATGTTTCTTAAATCAGAAAATGAGATTGATTAGACAACATTCCATGTGGTGAAACTTATCCCCAATACACTTAGAGGTATTTTCCAACTTAACTTTTTCTAACTGAAAATGAGGGCTTTTAATATATAGTTAAAAGTGTAGAGGGCCCTAGACGTAGAATCATTTCTTTGAATGTTAAGAAACAACTTCTTTTGTTTAATTATACTATCAAAAATATTCTTTATTCTAACTGGTCTACTTACAAACTGGCAAACCTAAGAGATGCCAAGATCATTCAGTTTAGCAGGGGATTTGTCCATTTGTAAAAGAATAAAAATAACTTAAAAGTAAATTTAGTATATTTATAATTAAATGTAATATGTAAAACATATTAAGTAACACGAGTAGTCCAAAGGATTTCTGGGTAAAATAACTATACATTTTAAAATTCCAGCCATTCCCTTAAAAAGATTCACTGCTCTATCCGCCTCAATTTCAGAGTCTGGTGAGTGGTATCACTGTCAAGTTGTTCAAGCCAGAAACCTAGAAGTCATTTTCTCTGACATTTCAATCAATTACCAAACCCTGCTCATTCTACTTTACAGTGCTTCAAGTGATTTTCTAAAATGCAAATCAGATTTGATCACTCCCCTGTTCAAAATTCTTTAGGTTCTTTATCGTCTATAATCTCTAAGGTATCTCAACGAGCTCCACCACCACACCACAACTGCCTATCTGCACAGTCTCATTTCCAGTCACTCCTTATTTCAGACTTTATATTATAACAGTTCCAACTTGTACTTGTGATAGTACTAGAATCATGCCCAGCTGCTTTCTCACTCCTCTGTGGCTTAAGATGTACTATTTTCTCAGTCTGGATGCCTGTCTGATAGTCTCCTACTCATCCTTCAGGTCTCACCTTAAAGACTACCTCCTCTATAACACTGTCACTGAGTCTCCCTGATACACTAGGATCCTTCCCATAAGTTCCCACTACATACTTTTATATATACCTTCATTGAAGCAATTATCAACAATGTCATAGCATTCTATTTGGCACTAAATAAGTATTTGTTGAATCATGACAAGGAAGACTTATTGATAGGTGATGCCCTTCAAACCCTCAGTTAGGATTTGGGGCCCATTCTTTCATTTCACAAATATTTATTGTGTACCTATGCCAAGTTCCATCTTAGACTTTGGGAACACAGTAATGGACAAAAAGTTCCTGGGCTCATGGAGCTTACATTCTAATGGTGGGGGAAAAAAAGAAATAAACATTTAAATATATACTATAACAGCTGACAGTGATAAATGCTATGGGGTAAAATGAAGTAAGGGTGGAGACACAGAGTAATAGATAGGTATGTGACTATTTAGATTGCGTGATTGTGGAAGACAACTCCAAGGAGTTAACACCTGAGCTGACACTTGAATTAAGTGAATCAGTGAGCCAAACAACAGTCTGGGAAAAGAGAATTTCAGGAAAAAGGAAGAATAAGTGCAAAAGCTGAGGTAGAACAGGTTTGGCATGTTCAAAAAATACCAGGAAGACAAGGGTAGTAACAGCAGAGTAGAGGTGGGCAGGGAGGTCAGTAAGATAGCTACAGGCCAGATCAAGTAGGGGCTCATGGGCCAAGAGCTCTGAATTTTATTTTGAATGTGTTGGGAAATTATTAGAAGGTTTCAGCATGATAATAATATGATCTGATTTACCTTTGCTAAAGATCATTCTAGCAAATATGTGCGGAATTAGGCTAATAGTAGAAGGGAAAATCACGAGGAAGTTACTGCAGCATGTCTAGGGTGATAGAGAGGCAGTCACAAGAAACAGATTAATGATATAGTCTGAAGGTAGAGCCAACAAAACTTGGTGGACTGACTGTATGGAATGCAAACGGAAGAGCGGAGTCACTTCTAGATTTTGGTATGAGCAACCTGGGTGGTGACAGTTACATTTACTGAGATGGGGAAGACTGGGGAAGGAAATCGGAATGAAGAGTTCTGATTTGAACATGTTAAGTCTGAGATGCCAGTTGAGCATCCTGTAAAGTTAAGTAAGTACATATATAAGTCTGAAGCTCAGGGAAGGTATGAGAATTAGAGATAAAAATTTGTGAGTCATCACTATAAAGATTCAAGCCAAAGAACCGGATAAGATCACCTAGGGAGAGAGAGAGACCAGGGGACTGAACCATGGGAGAACTCCAACGTTCAGAGGTCAGGAAAAGGAGGTGCTGCCAGCAGACTGAGTAAGGACGTAGGAAGAAAACAGGAGCATGTAGTAGCCCAGAAGCGAAGTGAAGAAAACACTTTAAAAAGGCAAGAGTAATCAAGTGCATTAAATGTTGTTGAAAGTTCAAGTAGGAAGAACTGAGAATTTTCTACTGGATTTGGCAAGACAGAGGTCGTTGGTGACACTGGAATGGTTTCAGTGGAGTTGTGGAGTTAAATGCCTCACTCAAATAGGTTAGGGAGCAAATATGAGGTGAAGAAGAACGATCCAATAGGAAGGGAGAAACCTGATGATTCAAATGGGGGTGGGGGTGGGGGTGGGAAGGAGGGTAACCGTAATAAAAGCATATTTATAATAGTTTTAAAACTTGGAACAAAAATTCAGTAACTATAAGATTAGAAATTCTAACAATACCTGCTTTGCCATGTCTTTATTAGAAATGCAAGGGGAGTATTAAGTAGAATATGATATTCTGAATTGCTCAATTATTCACCTCAGGACATTTAAGGCACCTTGAGCCTAGGTAGCTATACATAAACCAAGCTAACATACTCAAAATCTCTCTTAAAAGTTATTCTTGCCTGAACAAAGTTCAGGATCAAAGCCTATACAAAATCAGTTCTTCAATTATCTGAATTCAATCAGTCTGAGGAATACGAATGTAACTAAACTCTGCCTCTTTTGCAACGGCCAGTGTAGCACGTATCTTTGGAGTACCGAGTCATCTTGTGAATGCAGCAGTTAATATTCATTGATAAACTTCTATATAGTGCTCAGCATTCTGAGGACAAAACTAGACTATAAAGTTCTTTTTCTTGGCCACTATGGGCTAGTACCTGAAGAATGAGTACTCCAAGTAGAGAAAATGAGGTTTAGGAGGGTTACATAATAGATGGCTCAAAGATGAGGGAAAAACCTAGTTTAAGAAAACAATTGATAAAAGTATAAAGCTAATGAAAAAAAAATTATTTTTAATTTTTCTTAACACAAACACATTATAGAATAAAACTAAAAATAAAAAAATCTGTATTCTCATCTTCCAGACATAACTACTGTTAACATTTTGCTATAAAGGCATCTAGATCTTTTTCTATCCAAGGCAACTTTTTTTTAAACTTTGTGTATACGACTTACCTGCTATGAGCATAGACTCTGTAGAAAACCTTTCTAAGCCAATTTCCAAAAATTTTTCTGAAATCCACAGTAAAAAAAACATGTCATGATAACGCATACACATACACACACCTGAAAAAAAGTTTCATAAAATACCTTTACTACATGCAATGCTCTTATTTTTCATTTACTCTATTTTGCTTTTTTAATTTAAAATTTTTAAATTCTTGTAATTTAAAATCAATTTACTCACTAAATTGATCTCACTTGATTGAGAGATTGAAAAACACTTCTAAACAGCACATTCAGGAGTGGCGCAAACAGTTAAGTGCTCGTTTACTAACAGAAAGGTTGATGGTTCAAACCCACACAGAGGTGTCCCAAAAGAAAGGCCTGGCAATCTGCTTCTGAAAGGTCACAGCCATGAAAACCCTGTGGAGTACAGTTCTACTCTTTGACACATGTGGGTTGCCATGAGTCAGAATCGACTAGATGGCAGCTTTTTATTTATTTTTTAAACAGCACATTCAATATCAGAAACATACAAAGCCGGGATAGCAAACATTCTCTATTTCAAATTTTTTGAAATTTTGGTTGTAGAGCAGGATAAAAGGAAAAGTAAAACATGCATAAAAATTCAGATTATTATACCACCTGATCAGGACTCTTTAGTAGAATAACAAAATTAGGAATATATTCAATCTTTCCACACTCCCAGTGTCAAAGTATCTGCAAATAAAAATTAAAAAAAAACAAACAAACAAGAAATGTCCTTTCCTTGCATAAGAGCTTCACTTTAAAATATACTCCATCTAAACACAACACAAAAGCACTTACCTGTAATATACACAATAACGTGAATAATTATACATATGGACAGCAGAGAAATGGCTTCATATTTTAAAAACTATAGAATCTGCTAATGAAACCCAACTGATTCTGCTGTAGTTTTCTTAATGCCGCCTTCTGTAAATGCACTTGCACTGGTTAATACAATGACATATTTCACGCTTGAAAACACAAAATAATTCCTATGTCAGCTTGGAGGTTCATTCTCCTATTCTATTCAAGCCAGGTTGTACAAAATATATATTATTCTTTATATTAACAGAACAAAGACATTAAATTGTAGCCCTTAAAGTCTATAGTGGAAGAGATTACTTTAGGCCTTCTCTTTAACATACCCAGACTGAAGGGAAATAAAACTTCTAAACCAGGGAGGGAGACGTTCCTTTAGAGGATCTGACACAGATATTACTTAAAGGTGTGCAGGAAAGACTTGTTAATGGGAAGCAGAACGAGGAGTTAACAGCTCTATTTAAGCAGCTCAACTGGGCCGTGTATAAAGTGATGCCTCAAGGCCTCATTCAATGTGAAAGGCTGCCCTCACTCCATATAAAATACAACTCTATTATGCCTTCCAAATTACTATTTTTACTACAGTACCTGATTTTTATTATTTCTGTTTCTTCAATACCTGTCACTTTTTGCCACTCTCAGCATTTCTATCTCTCTCAATCTAATGGGCACTGCATATTTCAGTGTGTTCAAATTATATCCAAAATAAGGAGTAAAAGGCTTCTAAGTAAGGATTTGAGGTGTTTCTCATTTGAGCAAAGTGTATAAAGCTTAATGTACACAATTTATGGTAGCTATTTTGGCCACTTACAAAATCTCACCTGTTCATTTAAACCTGGTTGTGTTCAAAATAGTAATATCCTCATTTAATCCTCCCAACAATCCTACAAGGTGATACTATTAACTAGTCCAATTCTACAGATGAGAAAACTGAGGCACAGGGATGTTAAATAATATGCCCAAGGTCAAAGAACTAGAATGTGACAGAGGAAGGATTAGAATCTAGACAATCTGATTCTAGTGTCTGTGCTCATAACCACTATGCAATACGCACATAGTGTGGTACTCTCAAAAAGATTTTAACCAAGTGGAATCTGAAATGTCAAGAATGAGCGTCAGTGCCCTCCACTTAATATTTCTGACAATCGTCTGGGAGAGAAAAACAGAAATAACTGCATCAATTAGTTGATGTTTGGGAGATCAGAAGCCCTAACTACCTCCTTTCATCTCTACAAAAGCCGCTCCAGAAGACATAATTGAACCATGAAAGTGAAAAGCCAGAGGAGTATCAGTGGGTCAACCAAGCTGGTAGTTTCAAAGAGCCTAGTCTTATCTAGGATTATACTGAGTCTGTCTTACCATGAAACCACACCCAAGACCCTCCATGGCCATTTGAAGACCTACTTGACAAGGATAATTTAGGACTGCTCCTTTTGAGATGCAGCCCTAAATGACCTCCGGATGCCTATCAGAATACTTGCATGTTGTGGATTCCAATAAATATTCCTTGTGTAAACGTAAGTTGGGTATTCTTTCCTCCCTGCCGCCATACCAAACTGTTAATTTCTCTGGCTGTCCCAATTTTACCTTGAGTTCCTTGAAAGCAAGGAATGCTTTGTCATTTTTATATTCAAAAGGCCCACCACCATTCCTGGCACACAAATGGCATTCGATAAATATTTGGTAAATAAATTAGTACAAAAATGTCAATTCAGGTGTTTCTTCTTAAATTAAGAATTTTTCATCATGTTATTTCTTTGACTCAACTGATTAGCCATTTCTCACCAAAGCTGACCCTGTATATGTGACAAATGATACATATCTATTTATAGAAAGAAATCTACTATGTGCAAGCTCATAGTGACAGCTGAATTAAACCAGAGCCAGATTAACTCTCCCTGCCCAAACCTGGTTCATTCTTGAAAACCACAATTTCCTGCCACCAAAAATACGTAGGCATACATAAAAGACGGCAATATCATTTAAATTCGTACTGCGCCAAAGAAGTGAATAACTAAAGCGCTGTGCTAAGTGTTCATATACTTTATGTCATTTAACCTTCATAACAATTTAAGGTATGTATAATTATTATCCCTATCTAATAGATGAGGTAACTAAGTCACACAGCTAGCTAGTAAGTGTAGGAGTCAGAATTCAAACCCAGCTCTGACTGACACTCAAGCTCTTAACTGCTCACAACTCTGCATCACATAGTATATTCTCAACAAAACAACTCTAATTTTCTGAATCACAGCTGCCTAACTTTAACATTGGGATAATATACCATATTTGTTTTTTTAACTCCATCATTTTGAGAAGAAAAATAAAGGGAAATTGTTTTTCTTAATGAGCTCTACAAATCCCCTCACAACCCTGATCACCTTAACCAATGAAATCCTGAGTCACATGAGGACTGTTTATCATTAACTTTCCCTTTGCTGAAAAGTATCCTTTGCCCCTCCATCACCATGAAAACACTGTTGGTACACACAGTTGTGCTTTGTATAAAGCTTGCACAGCTATCAGTGGTGGTGGTCACTATCTTACGTTACTCTGGGAGTCTTAGAAGACTTCAACTCTCTAATGCAGGTTCCAAAGGTTTATGTAATATCCATCATACCGTATGTTGAGTAAAAACATCTGGGAAAAACAAGGAAATTATGTGATTAAATATAGTTTCTCCCTGCATGGCACAGCTTTATTTAAGAAGCTATATTAGCTTTGTACGCTATATTTGTTCCAAATGGGCAAGAAAGCCAGTTTACAGATTTTCTTTATATCCCAAAAGGCCAAAATTCAAACCAAAGGAACAAAGCTGACTTGTTTTTCTCAACACTCAAAGACGTTCAGGTGAGAGAACTCTTTCACCACAACATTACATGTTATTTAGATATTTTTTCCTCTTCCCCTTTTCTCACTTACTTCCACCCAAAGCCTTAATGAATTTTCGACTTTGGGCCAAGAATGGTGGTAATTATTAAAGTAAACCAAGGATTCTTCTTCACCCTCTCAAGGGAGAGAGAAAACTTGGAGTTTCTGCAGAAACTTACCAAGACTCTTTTACTGGCCACAATTCAAGTCTCCGGTCTCCTTCACTCTCTATTATTCAACCACTTGACCAGTTCCATTGATCTTCATTCCTGAGTATCTCTTTAATCTGCTTGTCCTCCCTAATCCCAGTGCCACTACTCCAGGTCAAAACAGCACACGCAATTGCCTGGTTTATTATAATAACCCAGCTAAATGGTCTCCCTACCTGTTTTTGCTTCCCTTCCATTCATTCTTCACCTTGTACCCAGAATGACCACTTTAAAACAATTAGCAGCTCAGACATTCCCTTCCCTAAAAACTTTCAATGACATCCCATCACTTTTATGATAAAATCAACTTTTTAACATGGCTTACAAAGACTCTTCCTAAACTGGCTCTAACCAATTTCTGTAGTCTTACTTCTTGTCACTTCTGTCCTTATGTGCCATACACAGCCATACGGAACTTTTCATTCTTATTTTTCTGGGTTTTTTACATCTTAGCCTCTGCACATTCTCTTCCCTCTACCTATTCTACTCTCCCACAGCCCCTCAACCATCTTCACCTAATTCCTGCATATCCTTTAGGTCTCCACAGCATAGCTCTTTCTCTGAGAAGTCTTACCTAATCATTCTAGATTAGATTGGGTGCCTCTACCACATAGTTCTCCTATTACAGCTCTTACCATACTTTATTATAATTACTTCTTTAATTATATGGTCTTTACCAGTAAGCTATACGCTTATCAGAGAAGGGATCATGTCTACTTACTCATCACTGTATCCTCAAGACTTAGCACAGTGCTTGGCAAATAGCACAGATTCAGAAGGTTTTTTGTACAATGGAATAATGAATAAATGAACAAAAATAATCTGGGGGTAGGAAGTAAAGGGGACAGATTTAAATGGTAATCTAACAAAAATTCCACAGCAAAATCACATCCTCAAATAAGTAAGTGGGACTTCTGGGTTCTGCTTAGGATGTAAAAAACTGGAAAGAATGTTATTCCCACCCTGAAAACAAGCCAAATAAAAGGTGGATAATGTGCAAAATCACAAATTTTTTGAATCCATCAGAGAACGAAGCTTGCAGGAAAAGCAATTAACCCAAAGTCTAACGTAAGTCAGGCACCTCACAGGAGACATGAGCACTTTCTTACCTGTAATAGATGCCAGATACCATACAAGCCAGTAAAAAGAACCTTGGCTAAAAAAATTTTTCTTAATTGCTAAAGGCCAAATCTCAGCTTCTATGAGAACATAGAATCCTCAGGAACCAAAGAAATAAGGGAAATTCTTACCCATTTACAGACTCTTCCCCTGACTTCACTGGAGGCTCACAAGAAAGACTGAGGGCAGGGGGACAGAGAGTTTCCCCTGTGGTGCAGATCTGGGAGAAGGGAACCGCAGTTCCCAGGGGAAAAACACAAAGCCCTGCCTGGATCCTTCTTGCCTATCTCCCGTACAGAAAAAAAGACCTTAAGTGACTAGAGAAAGGGTAGCAAACCCTGCTGCCTCAGGGCTCAGATGAAGACCCACTGTAGCTAGGGGAAATAAACAGAAGAAACCCCTCTACCCCTGGAGAAGGGGAAGGAATTCATCCTGGAGCCAAAGCACTGGAGAATCCCTTCTGCTACAGAAAGGGGTAGGATCGCTGAAAAGGACCCACCCCTGAGGCCCAGGGAAACAGCACCTACCTAAAACAGAGACTAAACCAAACCAACAGAAAATGTCCCTGCTCCTTCCCCTCTATTCAAGCCAGCGAGCCTCCAGTAACAAGTAACAGCAATCTGTGGACAGTAATCAGCAGAAAAAGTATTTGACAAAATTCAACATCTATTCATGATTTAAAAAAAAAAAAAAAAAACCTCTTAGCAAACTAAGAAAAGGGACCTTCCTCACCCTGATAAAGGGTATCTACAAAAACTAAACTTACACTTGATGGTGAAAAACAAATGTTTTCAAATCAAGGCAAGGATGAGATCACTCTCACCTATTCAACACTGTACTGAAGGTAGTTAGTGCAATAAGGCAAGAAAAAAATATGAAAGGCATCCAGACTGGAAACGAAGAAGTAAAATTGTCTTTATTTGCAGATGACACAATCATCTATATAGAAAATCCCACAGAATCTATAACAAAGCTACTAGAACTAATAGTTAAGTTAGCAAGATCACAGGTACAAGTAGTTCTACATGCAGGCAACGATCAAATGAAAATTGAAATTTTAAAAAGTACCGTTTACAATAACACTCAAAAACATGAATACTCAGGCATAACTCTAACAAAATATGTGCAGAATCTGTATGCTGAAAACTATCACAAAAAAACTCAAAAAATTGATAAAAGTCATGACTGAAGACTCAATATTGTTTAAATGTCAATTCTTCTCAAAGTGATCCTTAGATTTCAATCAAAATTCCAGCAGAATTTTCTGTAGAAATCGACAAGTTGGTTCTAAAATGGGTATGTAGAGCCAAAGAAACTACAATAACCAAAACAATTCTGAAGAACAAAGATGGAGAACTCACATAACTTGATTTCAAACTTCCTGTAAAGTTACAGTAATCAGGCCAGTGTGGTATTGTAGAAAGGGTAGATATAGCAATAAATAGAATAGAATAGGGAGGCCAGAAACAGACCCATTATATGGTCAACTGATTTTCAACAAAGATGCAAAGGAAGTGAATGGAGAAAAGACAGTCAACTCAAAAAGTGATGTTTAAAAAATTGAAAATCCATAAGCAACAACAAGAACAAAACTGAACTTCTATCCATACTTCATACCATACACAAAAAATAACTCAAAATGGATCACAGTCCTAAATGTAAATCCCAAAACTATAACATTTCTAGAAGAAATATAGAAGAAAATCTTTGTGATCTTGGATTAAGCAAAGATTTCTTAGCTACACCACCAAAAAAGCATGATCCATAAAATTTCAAACATTAAAAATAAATTAAAACTGTACATCAAAATTAAGAGCTTCTGCTATTTAAAAAACACTGCTGCTTTTGTCAAAATTTGCAGAACATACTCTAAGAAAGGTGAATTTTACTGTTTGTAAATCATACCTTAATTTTTAAAATGAAAAGAAAAACAGATTGCCTAGAAATTCCTACCAAAATATAGCTGATTCCTGGTTTTATCTATGTAGAAACCAATGAGTAAAATTAGTGCAGCCTTAATGTAGTTATACCAATAAGACTGAGAATTAATTTTTCTTAAAACTTAAGGCCATAGTCTTTTCTAATTCCGCAGTCATTACTTAAAACTTCCATTAACTTACTTAAGTTTGCATGAGTAAAGATTATAAAACTTAAGTCTCCTTTGGCTGTCAATTCTATTATCTAATCCATATATAACCAAACCACACAATTGTCTGTATTGTGCTCGGGGAGATACATAAAACTAAATTTTTAATCTGGATAGTTTTATTCTGAACAACCTTAGAAAAGTGGGCACTGAGAATATTCTAAGGTACTATGGCAATTCGAAATTATATTAGCCACTGACAGTAATAATTTAAATAACAGTATAATAATTATATGTAATAATTTTAATATAATAATTGTAATAATTTTCTTTAAAACACCGTGCAGTGCCATAAATTATTTAATATGGCCCTTCTAGCCATAATCTTTGTGATTCCCACCCAAGGATTGATGGGACTATGCAAATAAGGTACTTGTGGCCCACCAAGGGGACTGGGCAGCTTGCTGCTAATGCAAATAAGGTGTACGGGACCTTTGCAGAGGTGGCACCATGCAAATAAGGTACATGGAACCCTAATGAGGGGACTGATCAGTTTTAACATCCTGCTAGGATTAAAAGAGAGCTGATCCCAGAGCAGAGAGGGGACCTCACTATAACCGAAAGAGAGAGAGACAGACAGAGACAGAGAGAAAGACAGAGACAGAGAGAAAGACAGAGACAGAGAGAGAGAGACAGAGAGAGAGCTGTAACACCGGAGATAGCAAGAAGCAGCGGCAGAGAAACAGCAGCAAAAGAACCAGGAGACCGGTGCAAGACAGCTGTGGTGTGCTTCTCAGCCTACCAAGCGAGGCAGCTACAGTGGGAGTGCCAACCTACAGAGCAAGAAAGCTGAGCACCTTCGTGCAGGAGGCTTGCTGGTATAGCGGGGTGCCTCCAGGCACTTATCTGCAGAGCTAGAAGAGCTTTGTAACACTTGCCTAAGCAGGGCAGAGGCCAGGCTGAGGGCTGAGAGAGGAGCCCGTCCTGAGGGGACCAAGAGGAGCCTATCTTCAGGAGGCTGAGAGGAACCCTGCATGACTGAGAGGAACTGAGAGAGTTGTCCTGCATGGAAGAAGGGAGACTTTGCCTACATGCTTCCTGATCCTGGTTCTGATTCCAAGTTGTAACCTGTTACTTCTCTAATAAACCTCATAATCAGGAGTATTGTAAGTTCTGTGTGACCACTGCAACAAATTATCGAACCTAGCAGAGAAGTAGAGAGTGCCATGAGAAGGACAGTTGGTGTCAGAATTGGTAAAATGGTTGGAGAGAGGAAGCATGTCTGATCTCCACTGCACAGGAATCAGTCTTGGGCTGATGCTGATGGTGATTCTCCCCCTTCATAAAGTTAAAGACGAGGTCAGGCACCACTGTACCATTTTTACACACCTTTTCCGAAAAATAATTTCTTGATCAAAAACACTGACTCACCAGAGCCTAAAAGATATAAACTAAGCTTACGTGGCGTTTAAGATTCTCCATGATCTGGTGTCAGTCTGCTGGTCCAGCCATATTTCTACCACTCTCAGACACAGATCCTCCACTGAGGCAGAATGGCCTCAGGGTCTGTTCATTTCAGTTTCTGAAATGCCCTCCTTGCATTATCTCAGTTTAAACAACCCCAGTCACTATTTCATTCAAAACGCTTACCTCAAATCTAACTTTCCCTATAACTATTTGAAGGTCGCTATGAGTCACAATCAACTCGATGGGAAAGGGTTTTTGTGTTTTTTTTTTTTTAATTTGAAGGCTCATTGATTTCACCATTCTGTGAATTCATGTATATCTATTATCTATGGTATTCATTTGTAATTATATACTGCCTTACATTCTTATTTAAATGTTTCATTTATGAATGTCACCTCATACTCTAGGGCAGATATTGTTTCTTATACTCTTATATCCCTAGGGACATAATAATTGCTCAGTAAATATTCAGACAAAAAAATTAATGTGGAAAATAATTTAAAATTAATTTTCAACTACTTTTACTTAATTTAAAATATTTCATCAGTAACCTTCCGGAAAAGCTTTTCTTCTTTACAGTTTGAGAAACTCAGGCAAGGGACACCGGACTGTTCACTGAGATCTGCACCTGTATCACACTCATCTTCCTATCTCCAGGGCTGAACAGAGTCTGACACATGGGAAGCATTCAAATATTTAAACATTTAACTAAATTTCATTTTCTCAGGCCACAAAATAAGAAACAGAACCCTGGAATTCTTCTATCCCAATCCTCCCAAGATTATATTAGTACCTTGAAATATTTTCTAATTTCTCACATTTGTTCACATATTCTCCCTTACTAGACTACAAATATCACAAGGACAAAAATTGTGCTTTCTCTTCTTTTTAAAGTTTGAAGATGCAACTATAACAGTTGTGAGTACACACATAGTAGGGAGGCAATGTCCTATCAGATTTCTTAGAAGCAACATAAAGGCAGCTCATATACATTTCTCTGACCCACGTAAAAACACGCTAGTTACTCTTCCTGTTGGTAAGATTTACTTTTCATCATCCTTGGCACAAATTCTAGAAAGCTATCTGCCAGGTCCCATGCCCGAATAAATATGCATCCACAAGCAATTATGGAGATAGATAGCTTATGGGGAGGGGGCACTCTCTGGTCAAGTCCCAGTGCTGGCCTGTGGTTAGGGGAAAGGAGAGTAGGGGGAGGGGTGTTGTTCTGTGATTAATCACTGCCCACTCTGCTTAGGGGTATTTATCACAGCCCGCTGTCAGGTAAATCACTGGAAAAACACCTCTTCAGTAATTAATGTGAAGTGACGGATGGACAGCCCCTGGGCCCATTAATCAGGAACATCAGCAGCCTACTGAGATTATGAATGTCAGGATGCATAAACTGCTGGTGGATCAATAGGCCCAGGAATTCATCCAAGGCTCTCATTTCCGAGCCATCTCCGGTACATTAGGCTTCCTCAACCCCTCCCCCAATCTGAAGTGGAAACCAAGGCTTCAGAACAAAGAGCAGGAGCTGCTGAGGTCTGAAGTGGCCACTAGTAAGAAAACAGTCAAGGAAGCTGGCCATGGCTAGGGGAGGTACCACACTAGGCAACATCAGCACAAAGAGCTATCCTCACCAACAGGCACTCTCAGAAGGCTCAGTGTGCTGGAAAAGCAGAGCAACCAGGAAGATACAGTTAATATTCAATTACTGAGAGGCTGATAAACCATTTCAGGGATCAGCCAGCTTCTTGCTTCCAATCTTTCCCCCATTTTCCTTCCTTTCACACTAGCACTACTACTATAGAGTAGAGAGAAAAAGAGAATGAAAAGTCATTTTATGATATTTAACAGCCTTGATAAAAATTTTGAATTTAGGAGGAGAAAAAAGAATTTGTATAAAATAAATCACTGAATTATCTTTGAATTTAATTTAACCTTCCAGATTCATTAGCATTTACAAAGCGTTCTGCCAATATAAGATATGGGTTAAAGGCTAAACTGTGTGGTAGGATTCCAGCAAAATGAAATCAGTTCTTAATTCTATTTCTTCCCCAAGTCAAACAAAAAAT